ATAGTTTCTGGTCTTACATTTAGATCTTTAATCCATTTTGAGTTTATTTTTGTGTATGGTGTTAGAAAGTGTTCTAGTTTCATTCTTTTACAAATGGTTGACCAGTTTTCCCAGCACCACTTGTTAAAGAGGTTTTCTTTTTTCCATTGTATGTTCTTGCCTCCTTTGTCGAAGATAAGGTGTCCATAGGTACGTGGATTTATCTCTGGGCTTTCTATTTTGTTCCATTGACCTATATTTCTGTCTTTGTGCCAGTTCCATACTGTCTTGATGACTATGGCTTTGTAGTAGAGCCTGAAGTCAGGCAGGTTGATTCCTCCAGTTCCATTCTTCTTTCTCAGGATTGTAAAAGCAAACTCTTTTAGAGGACTATATTCAATCCTACCTTTCCAAATAGCTATTATCAATCAAGTGATAATTTTCCCAGTCATTTTCCAAATAATGTGTGCATGTCCGCTGAATTATGGCTGTTCACACAGAAGTCATACATTTGTTTTTTTTCATTTATTTTTATTAGTTGGAGGCTAATTACTTTACAGTATTGTAGTGGTTTTTGCCATACATTGAAGAAGTCATATATTTAATCATATAAGTAGCTCCAGAATGAGAGCAATACCCCTTTTCCATTGGCAGCCATATTCTCCTGAAAGAAAAGGGGGGGAATGAGAGAGTTAATTCTTGGGTAGGTTGGTAAGGAGTCCAGGGCCCCAGAAAAGGAGGAAGGGGTCTGGAGCCCTCAAGAAGGAGAAAAGGACAAACTTTTGTCCTACATTCCTTTATTTAGTCACATAAAACTTTTTTTTTAAGGCCTGAGCTAAAGATTACATGACAAAACAACTCATCTTGCTCAATCAGTTCAGTTGCTCAGTCATTCCTGACTCTTCGTGATCCCCTGGACTGCAGCACGCCAGGCCTCCCTCCCTGTACATCACCAATTCCCAGAGCTTACTCAAATTCACATTCATCAAGTCGGTGATACCATCCAACCACCTTAACCTCTGTTGTTCCCGTCTCCTCCTGCCTTCAATCTTTTCCAGCATCAAGGTCTTTCCCAGTGAGTCAGCTCCTTGCATCAGGTGGCAAAGTATTGGAGCTTCCTGCTCCAGCGTCAGTCCTTCAAGTAAATATTCAGGACTGATTTCTAGATTTGACTGGTTTGATCTTGCTGTCCATGGGATTCTCAAGAGTATTCTGCAACATCACAGTTCAAAACCATCAATTCTTTGGCTCTCAGCTTTATGGTCCAACCTCATATCCATACATGACTAGTGGAAAAAGCACAGCTTTGACTAGACAGACCTTAGTCAGTAAAGTAACGTCTCTGCTTTTTAATATGATGTCTAGGTTTGTCATAACTTTTCTCCATTAGCCTCTTAATCTTTATCTATTAGAGGGCAGACAGAATGAAAACCACAATCACAGAAAACTAATCAAACTGACCACAAGGACCACAGCCTTGACTAACTCAATGAAACTATGAGTCATACCGGGTAGGGCCACCCAAGACGGACGGGTCATGGTGCAGAGTTCTGACAAAACATGGTCCACTGGAGAAGGGAATGGCAAGCCAGTTCAATATTCTTGCCTTGAGAACCGCATGAACAGTATGAAAATGCAAGAAGATATGACACTGAAAGGTGAACTCCCCAGATCAGTAGGTGCCCAATATACTACTGCGGAAGAGCAGGGAAATTGCTCCAGAAAGAATGAAGAGGCTGAGTCAAAGTGAAAACAATGCCCAGTTGTGGATTTGACTGGTGATGGAAGTAAAGTGTGATGCTGTAAAGAATGATATTGCTTAGGAACCTGGAATGTTAGGTCCACGAATCAAGGTAAATTGGAAGTGGTCAAACAGGAGATGACAAGAGTGAACATCAACATTTTAGGTATCAGTGAACTAAAACGGACTGGAATAGGCGAATTTAACTCAGATGACCATTATATCTACAACTGTGGGCAAGAATCCGTTAGAAGAAATGGAGTAGCCCTCATAGTCAACAAAAGAGTCTGAAATGCAGTACTTGGTTGCAGTCTCAAAAATGATAGAATGATCTCTGTTCGGTTTCCAAGGCAATAATCCAAGTCTATGCCCCAACCACTAATGCTAAAGAAGCTGAAGTTGAATGGGTCTATGAAGACCTACAAGACTGTTTAGAACTAACACTCAAAAAAGTTGTCCTTTTCATCACAGGGGACTAGAATGCAAAAGTAGGAAGTCAAGAGATACCTGGAGTAACAGGCAAATTGGGCCTTGGAGTACCAAATGAAGCAGGGCAAAGGCTAACAGAGTTTTGCCAAGAGAATGCACTGGTCATAGCAAACACACTCTTCCAACAACACAAGAGACAATTCTACACCTGGACACCATCAGATAATCAGTTCTGAAATCTGATTATATTCTTTGCAACCAAAGATGAAGAAGCTCTGTATCGTCAGCAAAAACAAAACCAGGAGCTGACTGTGGCTCAGATCATGAACTCTGTATTGCCAAATTCAGACTTAAATTGAAGAAAGTAGGGAAAACCACTAGACCATTCAGGTATGACATAAATCAAATCCCTTACAATTACACAGCAAAAGTGACAAATAGATTCAAGGGACTTCATCTGATAGACAGAGTGCCTGAAGAACTATGGAAGGAGATTTGCAACATTGTACAGGAGGCAGTGATCAAAACCATCCCAAGGAAAAGAAGTGCAAAAAGGCAAAATGGTCATCTTATAAAAGAGGCCTTATAAATAGCTGAGAAAAGAAGAGAAATGAAAGGCAAAGGAGAAAAGGAAAAATATATTCATCAAAATGCAGAGTTCCAAAAAATAGCGAGGAGAGATAAGAAAGCCTTCCTCAGGGATCAATGCAAAGAAATAGAGAAAAACAATAGACTGGGAAAGACTAGAGATCTCTTCAAGAAAATTAGAGGTATAAAGGG